GGCAGAGTTTATAATGCGACAGGATGGATTTGAACGCAGCCCTGCCCAGGTCACGGTCCTCCATCCTGACCCTGGGACCTGCCCCCTGGAGGAACCTTCTCCCTTGGGAGGTAGCTGCAGGCAGGAAGCCTAGCTCCTTGTTTCTTGTCCCCACACAGCCCTCTGCAATGGCGAGGCCACTCAGCTGCTGACCATGGCCTCCAAGGCTCGGCTCGGTCTCCTGGGTGGGGCTGGGGCCACCTGCCCTGGAGTCAGCTGGAATGAATGAGAAAAATACAGAATTCCAGGTTTCTGCTCCTGCTTGCTGTCAGATGAGGTGGGATTGGAACCTCTAGGGTGGGGCCTGGATACCAGCAATTTCCAGGGGATTTGGATGTCACTAGAACTGGAGACCTAGTGCTCCTGATGGCTCAGGGTAGGAACTGTGATGCCCATTTTACAGCTTAGGGCACTGAGGCCCAGTGAGTCTTATCCTTATCCTAAGGTTGGAATCTGGCGGACGAGTCCACTGAGAGAGCACAGGCTTGTGGGGCAGTCTGGGCTCCATGTCCTGATCTGTCCTGGGAGCTACCTCTGTAATCAGCACAGATGACAAGTTCCAGCCCACGGGTTGAATCTTGCCCACAGCCTGTTTGTGTGTGGCCTGCCAGCTAAGAATGGTTTGTACTCTTTGAAATGCTTGAGAAAAAATAGCAAGAGAAATATTCTGGGGCAAGTGAAAGTTACATCAAATTCAGTGTCCATCAGGATCGACTGAACTCAGCTCCTCTCATTTACCCATGTGATTCCAGGACCCCTGAGCACACCAGCACCGTGTGTGCTCAAGTCCCTTATGGAAAGTGCTATATCATTAGCATAGAACCCATACACAGCCTCCTGTACACTTTAAACCATTTCTAGGTGATCAACAATACTTCATACAACAGAAATGCTATGGAAGGGACCGGAGCTGTGGTATAACACCCTAAGTTACTACCTGCGACACTGGCATCCCGTATGGGCTCAGGTTCAAATCTTGGCTGCTCTACTTTCGATCCAGCTTCTTGCTCGTGGCCTGGGAAAGCAGTGGAGGATGGCCAAGCACTTGGCCTTGTGCACCCTGAGTTCTTGTGGGAGACCTGAAGAAGCTCATGGCTTCTGCTTTGCCCAGCCTGGGCTGCCATGACTATCTGGGGAAGTGAACCAGCAGACTGAAGGTCTTTCTCCCTGTATAACTCTGCCTTTTAAATAAAGAAAAAAAAACAAAGGCTGTGGGAATAGTCACTATCCTCCATGGCTTAAGGGATGATACAATCTCTCCCCATGGCTTCCCTCTGTGGAATGCCCTGAAGTGGGAGCCACCTGGATGTTGCTTATGGCTGTCTTCGTGTGACTGAAGAGAAGGGTTGGGGCAAGGGAGGCCATGTGATTGCAAAGCCTGAAGGATTTGGTGTCTGGGTCCTTACGGAGAAAGCGTGGTCTGGAGCAGCTTCCAGCTGCACCGAGAGCCTCGGAGGGGGGATGTTTCCAACCTGCAGGTGGCTGTGTCCCTCCCCCATAGGACTTAGCATCCTCGGGCCTTGTGGATGCTGGGATCTCACATGGGGCTACTGGCTTAGAGGAACTTGGGCCTGCAGAGCTGACCCCTGCCTCAGCCCCCGCACTGGAAGTTGGTAGCCCACTCAGAGAGTGGGGAGGGCTGGGAAAAAGTGAGGGAGGAGCCTCACCTGCCCGTGCCCACTTCCGGCAGTCTTTCTGCTGGTGTCTGCTCCCCCCTGGTGGCAGTGAGCTGGGAGCTAGCCCAGCACGGTGAGCTTGTCTCTATCTCCTTGGGAATTTAGTCCAAAGACCTCAGCTTTGCCAGTGCTCCCATTCAGACAGGGTGCTTCTAGGAACTGACCACACCACAGGTGCCAAGGGCGTACCCCAGGACGTTATGGCTACATTCCTTTTTGTAAGGGGGTGAAATGGAAGATCAGAGGGCAGTCACTTGGCTGTGGCCACTAAGCTGGTCAGAGGCCCAGGCAGGACTTGAGCGTGAGGTCTATTTGACCCAAGAGCCAGGGAGCTTGACTGTGGCCCTGTCCAGCCCCTGGCATCGATTCTGGCTCCATCACATACTAGGCAAGTCACGTGACTGCTGTATCTTAGTGTTTCTGGCTCACAGGGAGGGGTCAGTTGGGTGATGGCAAAGAAGCCAGGCTGGAGTCAGGACTGTGGACTGCCTGTAAGCACAGGTTGGGCCCTTGGGAATTCAGTGGGCCTGGCTCCTTGGTGTGACTATTGGGCCCATAATGTCTCCTCTCTGATTCTCAGTGTTCTCCTCTGTAGAATGGGAGCCATTGGACAAAGGCAGTGACTCTGCAAGTGTGGTCTCCGAACCAGCAGCAGGAAAGGAAGCTTACAGTGAAATCTTTTGGCCTCACTGATGCTGGTTTAGACCACCTGCCTATCAGGCTCCTGTGACTGTAGGTAAGACCACCCACTAGGTGCTTCGCTCAACCCCTGGAGCTGCTGTTTGTTCTAATCTTGTTCCTCCTTGGCATCTGCTGATCGGGCCAACATGTACCTTGCTGCACACTGAACCAACCAGATTCCCAGTTCAAGTGTTAGATTCTGTGTCACTGGGGCTGTTGCTGTGGTGTAGCAAGGAAAGCTGCCACCTGTAGCATTGGCATTCTGTATGGGTGCCAGTTAGAGTCCTGGCTGCTCCACTTCCCTACCTGGGAAAGCTGTGGAAGATTACCCAAGTGTTTGGGCCCCTGCACCTATTGAGATGCTCAGAAGGAGCCCCTGGCTCCTGGATTTGGTCTGGCCCTGCCATCTGGAGAGACAGTGCACACATGAGTTTATTTATTAACTAAATAAATATATAAGTCTTAAAAAAAATCTGTGTTCTCTCCATAACAGACAGATGGGTCAAGGTGTCACCTTGGCCATCCACTTGCCTTAAAGGTGGCAAGGCCTGCTCTGCAGAGAGAGAGGCCCAAGAAAGAAGGGAGTCATGGCCCCCAGGTTGGAGTGCCCAGCTCCGGCTCCAGTGTCTGCTCTGGCGGGGCTATCCACCTGTTCCGGGGATGGCTATCTCTGAGCCCCTGTGTTCTTCTTGGTTCTTGTGACCTCATCCGACTCCCCAGAGAACACTAGGGGATAGCTCTGCTCACTGCAAAGCCATAGCACCGGTGAGGCATTTGGATCCCTACACTTGCTAGTAGGAGACATTCAGTTGCCGTGGGCAAGGCTGGCAGAGTCTAGGGTTTCTGACTGATCTGGAAGCTGGAGTGGGGTGGATGGGGAAGAAAGGGCACCTTGTAAGTGTCGACTGAGGAGCCTGGGGGAGATTGGGAGTCAACACCAGGGCTCATGGTCAAAGGCAGAGGAGCATCGATCCTGCAGGAGTGCCGACCCCTGATGGTAGTGGCCATGGCTGGCTCTGCCTGCGTGGGATTCTCTGCACCTACTGGGTGGGTACCTGTGGTCACGTCTGCCCCTGGGATGAAATGACCCCTGCCTAGACAGATCCAGCTGCAGAGGCTCAAGAGTGTGGTCCCCTGAGGCCTGCTGAGAGACTGGATGGCAATGGAGAAGCCTGCAGAAGTGGTCAGGGGATCATATGGCTAAGGTTTACCAAGAACACTGAGGCCAGCAGAGGCTGGTGCCAGGTCCAGCTGAGCATGGGTCAACTGTGTGGCCCTGGGTAAATCCCTTACTCTTTCTAATCCCCTCAGTTTGCTTATCCATATGAAGGGCCTCCTACGTGTACTTCTTAGAGGCTGCCTCTGGAATTCAAGCAGAAGATGTACAGGAACCCCAGTTGGCTGAGCTCCTTCTGTCGCCATCATGATGTTGCCATCATTGCTGGACAGATGTTTTGGGATGGCAGGGCTGAGCAGCAGACAGAACAGCCAAGCCTAGAGGAAAGATTTCAAACTTTGGCTGGAAAGTCTGGGGTTGGGATGCTCACCAATGCCAGACTGGGAGATGAAGCACAGGTAGCTATGTCCGTGAATGAAGGCCTGCGAGCTGGACCAGCCACAGGCAGGGGTGCCTTGGATCATGACTGGAGAGGGGCTTGGCTGGGGCAAGGATGCTCGTAGAAAGGGCTGAAGTGAGCAGGTGCAGACTGGACTTCCTCTTCCTGTGGTCTCCACCGATCTGGTAAGGACTCTTCATTGAGGGGCTGCTGTGCAGTCTGGACTCTGTCAGGGTTCAGAGATGAGCAAGGGACTCACAGCCTACCTAGGGGGATGGTGTGGATACGAATGGAAGGGCAGTTGTGGTTTGTGCATGCTCTACTAGGAATGAGGGAGAGTTGGGGTGGAGCATTGGAGGAGTCCAGTTTGGGTGAGGAGGTGTGGCCTGGGTGAGTTTCTGAGGCTGGTTAGGCTGGCGAAGTGGAAACTTGCAGGTGAGCGACCAGTGAGTAGACAGCCCTGCTGTAGGAAAGCAGGGGCAGGTTAGAGAAACATGGGCTGGGCTGTAGCCAATGGAAGCTGGGATGGAAGGTTGTTGAGCAGGGTAGTGGTGTGTCTTGTAACTGGATGATTCAGTAAGACCACAGGAGGGAGGGTGCATGGGGAGAATTGAAAGGGAAGGTCCCAGGGCCAGAGTCAGCTATGATCCCTTGCTGGGCTAATGTGAATTACAGATGCAAAGCCTCTTCCTGGACTGACCCAGGTCTATTGCTTTAGGTAGGCAGACTTGCCCTTAAATCCCAACTGTGGAACTCTACTCCCCAGCTCCTCAGCCGCCTGTTCTGAACTCCAGGTGCAATTCACCCTTTCTTGGGGAGGAAAGAATGAGAAAGGATCTAGCCCCATGCTTGGATGTGGTGGGCATTCCCATCCCCACCTCCCACTGGGTGGCTGGTGTAGGACAAAATGGAGTTTGACCACCTAATCACCTCTAATAACGTGGGTTTTCCACATTCAGAGATCAGCCATGCATCCATTCCTTGGGCAGTCCACTCATTCACTCGGTCGGCTCTCCTGAGCAGGTGCTGTTACCTAGGGCTGACTCTAGGCCGGGTCTCTTGGCCTTGAAGACTTTATTTACTCATTCACTCTGCTACATTCCCAGAGCTCTCCTGCATGCTCCCGAGGGGGAGGGGCCCATGCTGGGGGAAGGGGGCGCATCAGGTGGGATGGGGTGAGTATCAGCCCCGCTGCCGGGTTATACATCTGCATCTGGGAAGAGCAGGAACCCAGAGAAGATGCTATTGGCCCCCTCCATGGCCAGCAAGGAGTTCTTGTCATTGGTCTGCAGGTGGACGCTCTCACCCATTTCCAGCTTGAGGACCACGCCACCTGTGGTGACCTGGAAGGTGTTGACGGAGTAGTCACAGAAGGTAAGCACCTTCTGTGGCTTCTCCCGGCCCCGAAAGATGCCCACACACAGGTTCCCTCGTGAGGTGGCATGGTAGGTGAAGTAGTAGAGGCCGGGCACGGTACACGTGAACTTGCCACTCCGAGAATAATAGTTGCTGTTCTCATTGGTGATGATGTGCTCGAAGCGGACAGGAAGGTCCCGGCGCACCGGGATGGCGTTGGTCTTTAGTACTGAGAAGACGATCTTCTGTGTGGCTTTGTAGTCTCCCGATTCGCCCTTGGGGCCAGGGGCTCCGGGGGCTCCTGGGACACCTTTAGGGCCAACTGGTCCCTTGGGGCCCACTTTTCCTGGATTCCCGGGACTCCCTGGGTCTCCCTTCTCTCCAAACTCGCCGTGATCTCCAGCTAGTCCTGGAAGTCCTACAAATGTTGCAGGCACAAGAGAAAGGAGGTGGTCAGAATCTTTGGCGACAAAAGGAAGGGACCTGGGCTGTGCCCTTGGGCAGGGCTCTGCCCCTCTCTGGGCTTGAGTCTGCCACATGTTAGAAAGAGGAGACAGCGGCTAAAGAGTCAGCTTCCAGCCCAGCGTTCTGTACTGCTCCTTCATTTGCCAGGAACTGGGACTGATTGGCAGGGAGAGGAGTCAACATCCATGAGGAAGGTCCAAGGCCTCCTTCATCCCCAACTTGTACAGGCACAAGCCTGGAGCGGGGCTAATGAATGCTTGGCATGTGTGTTATCCCTCTCCACTCTGACACCCATGGCAGACATCCCTAATCCATCACAGTACGTGTGCATTTTTCGCTGCACCTGTAAAGTGAACTTCAGAATTCTCAACTCCACCACTCCATCCAGCCATTGGTTTGGCACAGCACAAAACAAAACAAACAACAACAACAACAAAACCCCTCTTTTCCAGAAGAGCGGCACTCAGGAGTGCCTGGGAACATGGCTCTGGACACACACACACTTGTGCATGTTCTGCCACGTGTGCTGTATCTAGTTGTGCCACCTTGATGCGATGAGTCGCATGCTCTGAGACTCGGCTTGTGTTTTGTGGGATTCGGAAGATGAAATGAGTTTAGTTGGGGAGAGTGGCTGGCTCCACAAATGAATAAACAGCGTTTTTCAGGCTCGCTGCTAGGGTGTCATTTGATAGGTGAGGAGGTAATGTTGAGAGGTGAAGCCAGACTGAGGAGTTGTATTCTAACCCATGATTGGGTGGTTTCCAAGGTGCTCTCGCGTGTTCTCCATCTCCCTCTCTCTTGTTAGACATTCATGTTCTAGCTACTGGGCTACCTTTCTGGACACTAGTTTTCCCATCTGTAAAATGGGAATAGGAAATCCCCACTGGCTTAGCAAAAAAAGGCTTAGCAAGCAAATGGGTTTGTGGGTTTTGCAATCTCACAGGCAGACAGCTGGGACTTGAGGTACATGAGATGGGGTCTGGGCCAGAGACTAATGTGTTTGTAAAACCCATCATACCTTTCTCTCCCTTTACCCCTGGGGTTCCAGGAGTGCCATCAGAGCCAGGTAATCCTGGGATGCCTGGGGTGCCAGGGATAGCTGGGTGCCCAGAGCAGCTGCTCTGTGCTTGTGAAGCGTCCAACAGACCGAGCAACAGCAGCAGTGCTGGGATGCTGCCCCTTGGGCTCTTCATTGCCGTGCTCGTTCTGCTGCCTCCTGTGGGGAAGAGATGTGGGAGGTCACCACCATGGTGACTCCTGTCATCCACCTGCCCATCTGCCCATCCATCACCCACTCTGCCCTCTCCATCCATCCATCCATCCATCCATCCATCCATCCATCCATCCATCCATCCATCCTTCCATCCATCCATCCATCCTTCCTTCCATCCATCCATCCATCCATCTGCCCATCCATCCATCCTTCCATCTGCCCATCCATCCATCCATCCATCCATCCATCTGCCCATCCATCCATCCTTCCATCTGCCCATCCATCCATCCATCTGCCCATCCATCCATCCATCCTTCCATCCTTCCATCCATCCATCACCCACTCTGCCCTCTCCATCCTTCCATCCTTCCATCCTTCCATCCTTCCATCTGCCCATCCATCCATCCATCCATCCATCCATCCTTCCATCCTTCCATCTGCCTATCCATGATCCATCCTTCCATCTGCCCATCCATCCATCCATCCTTCCATCTGCCCATCAATCCATCCATCCTTCCATCTGCCCATCCATCCATCCATCCATCCATCCTTCCATCTGCCTATCCATCCATCCATCCTTCCATCTGCCCATCCATCCTTCCATCCTTCCATCCTTCCATCTGCCCATCCATTCTTCCATCCATCCATCCTTCCATCCATCCTTTCATCCATCTGCCTATCCATCCATCCATCCATCCATCCATCCATCCATCCATCCATCCATCCTTCCATCCATCCATCCATCCATCCATCCATCCATCCATCCATCCATCCTTCCATCCATCTGCCCATCCTTCCATCCTTCCATCCATCCATCCTTCCATCCTTCCATCCATGTATGCATGCAGCCACCCAGCCACCTACTTGCTCACTGATTGTTTTCTCTTCCTCAGACCCTGAACGAGGTGCTGAGGACACAGTGATGCACAAGAATGATACACCCACTGCCTTCACAGTCCTGTCTGTGCCCCCAGGTGGGGGAGGGAGGGACAGAGAAAGAGGTCAACCCCTGAGGCACCAGCAGCGGCCACAGATTGAGTCTGGTGCTTGGAAGGGACGGGTGGGGGTGTTGCGGGAAGGGTCATGGGCTTGCGAAGGGGGGACTAGTCTCTTGGGAAGGCACTCCCATTCAAGAGGGGCTCCTCTCAGAGAAGAGGCGTTCAGGCTGTCATGTGAAGGTTCATTAGGGGTGGTGGGAGAGAGGTCCCAGGGTGGAGCAGAGGTTGGAGCAGTAGGGTCAGAGTTGGCAGAGGGAGGATCGCAAGGATGTAAATGAGATTGCAGGTGTAGGGGGCAGCAGCTCAGCTCAGGCCACCCGTGCCTCCTATGCAGAGGCCACTCCATGCCTATGGTTCTGAGAGGGCACCAAGGCTCCCAGAGGTCCAGTCACCTGCTCGGGGTGCAGAGGAAGGAACGTGATCCTCACCTGTTCTTCATTCCATTGAGGTAACATTCACATAACGTAAATGACCTGATTCAAGTGGGCATATCTGCCATCCTCGTAGCATTGTGGCCGCTGGCTCCTGGGTCTACTTCTAAGACAAGCTCATCATCTGCCAGTTAATGACCCTGGATACAAGACAGCTGCCTCCACGCCCCACCTCTGGCCTCTCATGCTCCTAGCTCACCAGTTCTGCATGTTTCCTACAAATGGGATCTTTTGGCTGGAGACCTTTGCTCTGATTTCTTTCATTGAGTGTTATGTTCCCAGGGTCACCCCTGTCAGTGCACACACCTGTCAGGACTTCCTGCACCTGTGCAGTGTCACTCCTCACAGACAGCCATTCTGGGTGCACTCACCTGTGCGCCACCGTGACTAGCGCTGCTAGGAACACGCACATGCAGATTTGAGCAGCTGTTCATAACTCCCTTGGGTGTACACCTAGGAGTGGAATTCCCAGTCTCACAGAAATTCTATGTTTACCTTTTTGAGACATTTCAGCTTTTTTTTTAAAAAAAAATATTTTATTTTTACTGGAAAGTCAGATATACAGAAAGGAGGAGAGGCAGAGAGAAACATCTTCCGTCCGATGAGTCACTCCCCAAGTGACCGCAACGGCCAGTGCTATGCCGATCTGGAGCCAGGATCCAGGAACTTCTTCCAGGTCTCCCACACAGGTGCAGGGTCCCAAGACTTTGGGCCATCCTCAACTGCTTTCCCAGGCCACAAGCAGGGAGCTGTATGGGAAGCGGAGCTGCTGGGATTAGAACCAGCACCTATATGGGATCCTGGTGTGTTCAAAGCAAGGACTTCAGCTGCTAGACCATGCCACCAGGCCCATTTCAGCCTATTTTTTAAAAAAAAAAAGTTATTTGAGACCCAGAAAGCTACACACACATCTGTGACTGGTGGTAAAGGCAGAGCCACAGGGCACAGGGCCTTTCCCCAGCAGGACAGCCCCTGGGTCCCACAGCTGTCCTGGAGCCAAGGCACATGAACCAACCTGAAAGAGTGACAGAAAGAGACAGAGAGAGAGAGAGAGATAGGGAGAGGAGAGAGAGGGAGACAGAGAGAGAGAGACAGGGAGAGACTGCCCATCGCTGGTTCATGCTTCAAATGTCCATGGCAGCTAGGGCTGGGCCGGACCAAAGCCAGGAACCAGGAACGCCGTCTGAGTCTCCCATGTGGGTGGCAGGGACCCCCGCTCATGCCCTGAGCATATGGGTCATTCTCTGTGGCCTTTGCAGAAACATTAGCAGGAAGGGATGCTGGTGTTGCACATGCTTGCTTAACTCATTGTGCCACAGTAAGTTTCCATTTTAGGAGTAAGATATATCCTGGTCTCTGTGGGCTGAGTGGTAAAGTGGGAAGGCTCCCTGGAGGAGGAAGGCTTTGACCAGTGTCCTGCAGCTGGGGAAAGTTGGCTCAGGGCCAAGGTGAGAAAGGGCCACCTCTGCAGGCCCCAAGGCTGAGATGGCACAAGCCATGGACAGAGGTGGCCTTGATGGAGACATCCCCGAAGAGACTGGGGGTGAACATTTGGCCTTGCAGTTGTTAGGGTATCCACACCCTACATTGGAGTTCATGGCTCTGGTTCCCTGACTCCAGCTTCTTGTCCATGCCGACCCCAGGAGGCAGCAGTGATGGGTCCGGTAACTGGGTTACTGCCACCCAGGTGGGGGACATGCCTGGAGACCATTGTGAATATTTGGGGAGGGGGTGACCCAGAAGTAAAAGCTGTGTGTATGTTTGTATAGGAAAAGTCATTTCTGTTCAGCTTCAGTTTACCTGCCTATAAAATGGGCATAATAGAAATCTTGGGCCTAACATGGTGACCTAACGACTAAAGTCCTTGCCTTGCACACACTGGGATTCCATAAGGACTCCAGTTTGTATCCTGGTGGCCCCACTTCCCATCCATCTCCCTGTTTCATGACCCAAAGCCTTGGGACCCTGTACCCACATGGGAGACCTGGAAGAGGCTTCTGGCTCTTGGCTTCAGCTCCAGCTGTTGTGGCCACTGGGGAGTGAATCAGCAGATGGAAAATCTTCCTCTTTGTCTCTCCTCCTCTCTGTATATCTGACTTTCCAATAAAAATAACTTAAATATATATATATATAAAAGATAAAATAAAAGAAATCTCTCTCTGGAAGGGTGGAGCCTGGTGAGCTGGAGAAGTATAAGGGTCCTCAGGTTTTCTCCATCAGCCAAGAGCCCATGATTTTGGGAGCAGGAGAGAAGATGCCAGGAGAGAGAGGAAGGGAGCCGGCCCAGCGAGGGCCTCGCTCAGCCGGCAGTGGCCCCGGGCTGCGGAGCTCTGGCCAGTGGGGCGTTGGACATAGTCTTGGTGCATCAGACTCCCTGGGGGAAGCTGCAGACCGGGGTGGGGAAGTTGGGGATATCCTGATTCTTGTCCATTTCAGCATCCTTACAACTCACCTGACCTGGCCCCACCAGCCCAGCCAGTGGCGACCCTTCCACCTCTTCCTGGTCCATTGTTGGAGTCTGGCTGAGGTGACCTTGGACTCTGCCTATGCTGCTACATGAATGCATGGCCTCAGCCAATGCCTCACCTCTCACGGCCTCCCTGGCCGAGGTGCTGTCAGGACGATGGAACATAGCAGCCCCAGCGGGACAGCCCCTTGGCCACTTCTCTCCAGGACACCCAACCAGCACCTCTCAGCTCAGCTGCTCACCAAGCTGTCTGCTTGCCAGGACCATGCTGAGCTTTCTAAGCACCGTGCTGATGAATGACAGCAGCCAGGTGCTGGCAAGGAGGGCTGGCCACCTGGAGTCACGGGCGTAGTTGAGCAGGGTGCACGTTTGGCTATGGGAGATCCAGTTTTCCGGACTGGCAGCAGCCCAGGATGGTTTCCTCAAAGGGGGTTTCAAGTGACAGAGTCAGCATATGAAAGCATAGAGTCCAGGACCCCAGAACCCTCTGCCGGAGTCTCTACTCACCTGCTTGCCAAGGTTCACCCCACTCTGCTCGGTTAAACACACAAGGCTGGTCCCAGAGTGGGTGCCTTGGCCCACACACTGGGTGTCACGACCTCCCTGCCACACTAGCCCCCTCCTCACCTGGGGACTGGGTGTCCTTTGAGGCCGCTGGGCTGGGCAGCAGTGGAACCAGGAGCTCAGAGCCCGCTGCTCTTTGCTCCAAAGCGGAAGCTCTGTGTCCCGGGAACAGGAAGGGCTTTCCCCCGACTGCCCCCTCCTGTGGACCCCCCACTTCCCATCTCTTGACTCTCTCCCCACCCTGTTGTCCTCAGGCAGTTTCAGATCCCATTTCTGCCTTCTGGAGGGGTTTACTGTAACTGGGGCTAGGGGATGGCCAATTGGGTTTCGCCGACTCAGCAGCTGTGGGGTACACAGGCTGTGCAAGGGGGCTGGGCTGTATCTTGTGTTTGCGGCCTTGTAATCTGGCACTGGGGCCAGGGGACACCCAGCAGGAGGTGATGTGGGGACCCTTGAGCTCTACTTGCTGGCCAAATGCTCTCAGCCAAAGGCAACCCAGGGAAGCCCGGTTTTCTCTGCCATGTGCTGCGGCCACTATTCCACCTGCTGAACAATTCTCACTGACCACTGGGAGGAGCATGGAAGGACTGATGGAGGGGAAGGGGCATGTGGGGGAAGTGGGGATGTCGGGCTTGTGTTCATCTTCAGCATTGCCTCATGGTCCAGGTGCCCCCTTTCTGGGCTCATCTCTGCCGTCCCTCCAACCTCGCATTCTGCACCTCTGCGCTTTCCCCCGCACTCCGAAATAACCTAATAATGCATTTTAAATGTGCTCATTATTTATTTATGGCCTTGCCTCTGTCTCAAGCTGGGCTGGAGGCTGTGATAATATGAAGCATAGTTGGGGGCCTGTTGCTTGCTGATCCCGGAATGACACCAGCTTAGGGCACGAGAGGGCTTGGAGGAGACCCCACCCAGCCTCCTCATTCTGCATGTGGGGAAACTGAGTTCCAGAGAGGACAGTCTCCATCCTTACACAGGCAGCGCTGTTATAAGACAGGCCCTGGAAGTGGAGCAGGAAGACAGTAAGCCATGGCTCTGGTCCCTGCTGTGCCCTTTCTCCTGGGGTCATTGGTGTTCAACATTAGATGACATCCTAAGCTTTATGCTGCTGTGTTAAGCATCGCAAAAAATAAATAAATAAAAAGCCATTGCCAGGGCTCACACTTATGTAGGTGGCAGGTTCAGTGGTGACATCCCAGGCAGCAGGGTGGCAGCCCTCTGCAATTGAAGGTAGTGAGACTCCCTTCTCGGAGGCATCCCAGGGACAGCCGCCACCAAGCACCAGAAACTGCGTATACGGGAGGTGTGTTTGGAGATGAAAAAAAAAAAAGTCGCTGGCTTGTGGATGCTGACACGTGGAAATCTAGCACTAACTGCATGAAATGAAAGGGGAGGAAAGGAAGCTGGATAAAATCAACAGGGCTCTGGGCTCGACCCCCTGTAAGCCCCAAAGGAGCCAGGCGGGCTGAGGGGAAGAGGGAAAAGAAGGGAAAGGGGAGCGGGAACTTGGTGGGCTGCAGGTGCAGGGTCCCATCTGAGGGTCTGGGTGTGGTCTATAATTCCTTGATGGCAGGAAGCACTTGGGAAAGCTGGCTTTCATTAGGGTGGAAGCAGCAAGGCTAAGGACAAGACCCAGCAGAGAGCGGATCAGGTTTGAGCTTTGGAATGGACCACTTCCAAGCTTGAACCCAGCCATGTGACTTTGTTGTTGTTGCTGTTGTTTAAAGATTTATTTATTTTTTATTGGACAGGCATATATACGGAGAGGAGAGACAGAGAGGAAGATCTTCTGTTCTATGGTTCACTCCCCAAGTGGCCGCAATGGCTGGAACTGAGCCAGTTCGAAGGTAGGAGCCTCCTCTGGGTCTCCCACGCAGGTGCAGGGTCCCAAAGTCTTGGGCCATCATCGACTGCATTCTCAGGCTACAGGCAGGGAGCTAGATGGGAAGCAGGGCCACCGGGATTTAGAACGGCGCCCATATGGGATCCCAGTGCGTTCAAGGTGAGGACCTTAACCGCTATGCTATCACACTGGGCCCCATGTAACTTTTTAACTGCCTGGCTACAGGCACAGGGGCTGGCTTCAGCCTCCTTGGGCTTGAGCACTGGTCTCCTGGGGCTCCTGGGGAGTTAGTGAGGTCAGTCTGCAGGTGAGGGCCCCATTAGGTGGCCAGCCTCTGGGGGGCACCCAATGTAAACATAGAACCTGTCTTATGTGCAGGAAGGGATTTGGTGGAGCCTGGCCTTCTTGGGCCCATGTTGGGTCCTGGGGAGACCTGGACATGGGCATCAGGAGCTGGGGGTTGTGTTCCTGGGCCTTGACCCTTGAATGGCAGGTGCTGATTTCTGGGCCTGTGGCCCACAGAGTGGATAAGCCCTGCAGAGGGTAGGGGAAGCCTCTGCCTTTATGCAGCCTGGGGGAAGCTGTCCTGGCTCCCGTGCCCTCTCTGCCTCCCTCCACCTGCGGCACAACAGTGAAGTGGGCATTTTCAAAGGTCTGCCTCTCCTGACAAAGACAGGCAGATAAGGAGACAATGGTGGGAAACAAAACCAGCCCGGAAACTCTTGCTTACCAAGCATGAATTCTACCGTGACTCTGGCCTACACGAGCACAGTATTGATTTGTGAGCCAAAGACAAACGAGAGAAGTCGGAGCACCTGTGGCCTTGCTGGGCCAGTGGACAGGTGGCTGGGTGGCCAACGGAGGGGGAGCTGTGAAGGCCCGGCACCTGGGCACAGTGAGGCCGGCTGCGGCCCCTGCTTCTTGCCACCTGCTCCATCTCTTTCTGCCTGTTGCCCTCATGCATGTATCTTGTGGCCCACCGTGGGCATCAGAGGGGCCCTGACCATGAGAATGCATTGGCCAGACCTGCTGTTCTGGCAGCACACCTCTGCCTGCCACGGCCTCCGGGAGCTTTCTGGGGCCTCAAGGACTATGCTGAAATGCCAGTCAGGTGGGCCAGCTGCTCCTGGACCTAAGTGTGCCTCAGATTCCCCCAGTTCTGTTGCGTGCCCTTCAGGTCTGCCCGGGAGAGTCTTTTTTTTTTTTTTTAATCTTTTAGTAGTTAAGCCAGCACACAGGGGCCTGGTCAGGTGCTAGATCCATAGCAGCTGAGTCCAACCACCAACAGCCTCAAAGCCAACAACACCTGGAGGTTTGTGGGCAGCAGTGACTTTAAGATTTATTTATTTTTTTTTTATTATTTTTTTATTGGAAAGGCAGATATACAGAGAGGAGAGACAGAGAGGAAGATCTTCCGTCCGATGATTCACTCCCCAAGTGAGCGCAACGGGCCGATACTATGCCGATCCGAAGCCAGGAGCCTCTTCCAGGTCTCCCACACGGGTGCAGGTTCCCAAAGCTTTGGGCTGTCCTCGACTGCTTTCCCAGGCCACAGGCAGGGAGCTGGAAGGGAAGCGGGGCTGCCGGGATTAGAACCGGCGCCCATATGGGATCCCGGGCGTGCAAGGCGAGGACCTTTAACCACTTGCGCCACCGCGCCGGGCCCGGGCAGCAGTGACTTTAGACAAACTCCCGGAGCCCCCAGTTTGCAAGTCAGATATGTGAGCGCCCTTTCTCTCTCACAGTCATCCACCCACACCCATCTCACAGGACACTGTTATGAATACTAGAAGAGTTCATATGTGTAAAGCACTGGGGCTGCTACGGTGGCATGCAGGCTAATCCTCTGCCTGTGGTGCTGGCATCCTACGTGGGTGCCTGTTTGTGTCCTAAATGCTCTACTTCCAATTTAACTCCTTGCTTATGGCCTGGGAAAGTAGCAGAGAATGGTGGAGGCTTTGGGCCCACACACTCACCTGGGAGCCCAGCAAGAAGCTCTTGACCTCCAGCTTTGGATTGGTTGAGTTCTGGCCATTGTGGCCATTTGGGGAATGAATGAGCAGATAGAGGACCTGCTTCTCTTCTCTCTGTACAAAAAATTTACCTTTCAAATAATAATAAGAAAAAATAGCGTATAGTAAGTGCTCAATAAGTGTTAGCTATTGTGACTTTTTAAAAAAGATCTATTTTGAAAGGCAGAGAGAGAGAGAGAGATTAATCTACCATCTTCCAATTTCATTGTGCAAATTGCCACGAGAGCCAGGGTTTGTTCAAGGTGAATCCAGGAACTCCAGTTCCATCCGGGTCACCCGTGTGCTTGGGATGACCCACGCACGCAGGCCATCCTTGCTGCTTTCCCAGGTGCATTAGCACGGAGCTGGATTGGAAGTGGAGCAACTGGGACTTGAACCAGCGCCCATGTGGGATACCTGTGGTAACACCCTAATCTGCTCTGCCATGACACCATCGGCCACTGTTAGGATTTTCATTCACCCATTCATGCTTTTAGCTCTTCCTTTACCCACATAAGCATCCATGAACCCAATTCACTCATTCGTTCAGACCATGACGCCCATGCTATATCTTGCTGAGTCCAAGCTGCTCCCCAAATTCAGCAGGGCCTGGAGACCACATGCACACCTGCCAACCAGCAAGCTTAGTGCTGCTAGGGACCACAGTGCCTCTCCTGCAGAGGGGCCTGGCAGCCAGTTCCGTTGGGACTGCTGGGAGCCAGGCTCTCCTGAGCACCAGTGAGATGTCCCACGTCCAGCCTGACACCAAGCTGAAGCTGCTACATTCAAGGAATGGACAGTGAGGAACTCGAGCCGGGCATATTCACTGATTTATTTATTCATCTGTATTTCTCCGCATTTCTTTCAATACGCACCCCGCCACCCCCAAAAAATCCAGTGAGGTTTCCAGCAGGTATTAGGTACAAGGAGTAACTTCTGAAGCTGCACAGAGAAGGGAGAGAATTTGTGGACCAATGGATCAAGACAGGCTTCCTGGAGGAGGAGTCCATCAGGTAGGGACAAAGACTTGTTCAGGGATGCAGACAGGGACATCTGTGGACTGTGCCCCCTAGTCGGGGAAGAGCAGGAAGCCAGAGAAGACGCTGTCGGAGCCCTCGGTGCCCACCATGCCATTGTAGTCGTTGACGGCCAACCACACCTCGTCGTCCACCTGCAGCCGCAGGGACACCCCGCCCGAGCTGACCTGCTTGGTATTGGACATGTGGTCGCAAAAGGCGGTCACCCTGTTCCCGTTGTGGTAGAGCTGAACGCACAGGTTGGCTGTGTTTGAGGTGTGGTAGACGAAGTAGTAGAGGCCGGGCACTTTGCAGGTGAACTTGCCAGTACTTGTGTCGTAATCCCCTTGAGGGTTGGTGATGACCGTGTTGAACTTGACCAGGCTATTGGGCGTTGGGTACTCGGCAGTCTGCCGAGTGACCGTGAACACTGACTGGTGCTTTTGCTTGTACCTGCCCTCCACACCTGGCTCTCCTGGAGGGCCCCTGCGCCCAGGCTCCCCCGGAATCCCAGAGGCTCCCATGGGGCCATTCTTCCCTGGATGGCCGGGTGTGCCTGGTTCGCCTTTCTGACCCTTGGGTCCTCGGGTCCCTGGGATAGCTGGGATTCCTAGGCAAAGAGAAAGCAGGAGTGAAGTGACAGGGCAAGGGACGGGCAAGGGCAGTACTAGGGTGTCTTTCTCGGGCTGACTAGCCAGGTGTGGTCTCTAGAAGTTTCTTCCCATATGGACCATCTGCCTGGCAGCTGTGTGTGTGAGCAAGATATAGCCCAAGGAGAGAGAAGACTTGCTTCCCCTGGACTTGACCTCTGACCTTGGTTACATTTCCATAGCCCCCTTTGCCTCTCGGCCTGTTTCCACATTTGTCATGGAGGATGTGGGGTGAGTCAGCAGAGCCCAGTGGGGTCTCCAGAACATGCTGGAGAAATCAGAGTCAGATGGGATGGCTCCTCCCTTCAGGTCATGAGGCTGTCCACCCTGTGGGCTAAATGTAAACAGAGACCCTTACAGGTTGGCAAAGGCTTCCTCCTGGGCAGGGCTTCCCGGTAGCTGCTCAGCCAGCTCCCTGGCACGGAGGAGGAAAAGGAGAGGCCGCGAGACAAAGCTCCAGGGCAGCCCGGTGCCTGGGCTCTGAGGGTAGAGGATGTGGATGGCCATGGAGTGGCCTCGGTCCTGGAGCAGCAGGGGCAGGAGGTGGTGGGCTTCCTGCTTGCAACTCCTGAGTCCTGGCCCCCTAACCAGCCCAGTCAGATGCTCTGCCCCTGCCCCGCCACTCCGGATGGGCAGACTCACCTGGCTCACCCTTGGGTCCTGGCAGCCCATCATGCCCATCCCTTCCTGGAGTCCCAGGCAGGCCTGGCATTCCAGGGATTCCATAGCAGCTTGTGCTGGCCTGGCTTCCAAGTGGTAGGGCCAGCAGGAGGAGCAGCAGGTGTATCCGATGCAGGGGCTGGAAGGCGGGGCTCACATCCATCCTGTGAAGGAAGCGGGCCTGGGTCGGGGGGGATGTGCAGAACTGGCCCACTCAGCCCCATGTCCCAGCCATCCTTCTTGGTCCTGGGACCCACCCCTTTACCCCAACCCCACACCCTTGACACCCATCAGCCAAGCTGTCCCTGGTGTCATGTTTCAGGAAGGTGATATCGGCTGTCCCATGGGCAAGGGTGCCATCCTCACCTGGGTGGGGGACTTCGGTCTGGCCCTCCGATCTGCGAGAGGCCCTTCAATCTGCGAGCCCTTTCCGAGGCATGCCAACACTGTGTTGGGGCGGCCTGAGCCAGGACGGCCCAGGGCGGGGCTGGACAGCCCCCTCCTCTCTGCACCACAGCCTACATCCCCTTTCTCATCAGTTTTCCTGAGTCCACATTTCCTTCTGGGTGCTGAGCCAGACTGACCCCAGCAACATCCTGTCCCCCTCCCTACCCCCGCCTGTCCAGAGGGTCGGAAATGAGGAAATGGCCACTGCCAGCATCTGGTTAAGAGTGCTTGTGTGCCTACATGTACAATCACGCATGTGTGATTACATGTGTGTGTGAGTGTGTGAGTGAGCGTAAGCCACCAGACTACAGAGGCCCCCAAAAGCAGGCTCTACCTGTCACCTTGTGGGGTGCTAAGTTGACTGTGGCTCAGTTGCTATACCACATTAACCCGTGGCAAGACAGAAAATTGAGACTCAGGGAGATGTGAACCCTGGTTTGCCTGGTTTCTTGGAGTTCTAAGTCTCACCCTGAGAACCCTCTGTTCTGCTGTTGCTCCAGAAGCCAGGCCTCCCACGCACCTGCTAAGGACAGGACTTAGTCTAGAAGCATCCGTGTTCCATTCTGGCTGCTGCACTCAGAGGTGGGAGTCCAGAAGAGCCAGCAGCCTTGGGCTTCCCTTGCAGCCCTGCCACTCCCTTGTCTCAAGGCCTTGAGCAAATCACAGGATCTCTGGGCCCCATTCGGCCCTGGAGGTGTGGCAGGGTGTGAGCGTGGACGCCTCTGTCACCCCTGGAAAGCTCAGCTATCCTGTCATCACTGCCTTCCCCAGCTGGACCTGGGGAACCGTCCCACAACCTGGGCTTCTGCTCCCGGAGCTCATTGTGGATGGTGAGGGGTTGCCAGTCAGGGGCAGGCTGGTAGAACTGGAAGATCCTCTCCGCTTCTCCCTCCTGTCATGGGAGGTTCCTGGGAGAAGAGGTTCTGACCCCTGCCCCATCCCTGTCCCTCTGTGTGACTCTCAGGCAGTGATTCCATGGCCTTGACTTTGAACTTTTGTTCCTCCTCCTTACCACCTGGGGCAGTGTGTGTTATAGGCGTGAGCAGGATGCCAGCACCCAGCAGCTGCCCTGCTGAGTGGCGTTCCCGTCTGTCCAGTGGTGTGGGGGTCGCAGAGTGTCCAGCGAGGTCCCACTGGGTGAGCGGAAGCCAGGGGACAGAGAAGACAGGACCAGAAGCATGTTACATGGGCAGGGGCACTAAACTGTGATGCCAGCCCCCATCCTCCGCATACAAGCCCTCTGCGCCGGGGCCTAGCTTATCCAGCAGGTGGCAGTCTCAGCCCATGCTCAGCGGTCCCAGCCAAAGCAGCCCAGCCCGGAAAGGCGGCCTGACCCCTCCTGCACCAGCGCCTCCCTAGTTCCACCCCAAAGCAAGGAAGCTGTACCTGGCACACACAGCTCAAGGTGTGTGTGTGTGTGTGTGTGTGTGTGTGTGTGTGTGTGTGTGTGTGTGTGTGTGTGTGTGTGTGTTTTGGGGGCACTTCAGAGGGTTTGTGGATCTTCTCTGGGTGTCTGGGGCTGTGAGTGCTCAGCAGCTTGGGCACCCCTGGTGTGTGTGGAAGGTGGGGACGGGGGCATCGCCAGTGTGTCTCTCTGAGGGGTGCCTGTCTTGAACCCAGAGAGGCATCGCTGTGTCACATGTTGGTGGGCAGGTAGGGGCACATGCATCCCAAGGGAGGTATAGATGTGCAAGTGTGTGTGACAGTGGTGTGTGTGTGGCCATGATGAGTGTGTCTGTGGAATTATGTGTACAGTGCACATATGTGTGTATGACTGATACGTGTATATGTTTGATTATGCATGTATGGACGCGTGTGAGACTGTGGTGTACATATGCCTGATATGCACATGGGTGCCTGGGTGTATGTGTGGCTGTGATATTTGTGTGTGATGTGTGCATGTACGCCATCACATATATGTGATATTTATGTGTGTGCACTTATGTGCATGTGCACACAGCACACTGGTACAAGCAGGTTCTTTTGACCAGAGACAAAGGACATTAGACTGTGTCACTGCTGACCTCCTGGCCTCCCCGCGGCTCCCCGGCCCAGGCACATGTGTGGGAGCAGGTTCCTTCTGAGCAGCTGCCTAAGGGGACTAGCAGGACCCCAGGAATGCACCGTGGGGGGTTCCAGATGCCCAAGTGCCCAGCAGGCGATGCAAGCAGCAGCCATGGCCTCCCTGTCTGCTGGGCAGTACGCGGAGACTAAGCTTCAGGGATGGCTGCCAGTGCCCTTGTCCTGCTGTGCTTTCTTTCGGATTCCTGCCCGCGTCTTCCTGGTACAGGGCAGCAGACACATGGGGTGGGGGAAGTCACAAATGCAGCCGTAGAGGCAGGTGGCCAGCAGGGCAGTGTTTAAACACAAGTGTGACCGTCCGTGGGCAGGCTGGGTTCCTGTTCCAGCTCCTGCCTGTGGATACCTGGGCCGGTGCAGTTTCACTGTCCGTGAGATAGGGGGTGCCACTGTCAACAGGAAGCAGAGTAGTCGCTGGAACTCCTGGGAGCCAGCACCTGCTCCCAGGCTCTACTGGAAGGCCACCAGCTCCTCCCAACCACCCTCCCAGGGATGAGCTGCTGTTGGTCCCATTTTACAGAGAAGGAAATTGAGACCACATAATGGCGGACATGAAGTAAGAGGCACGCGAGTGACAACTAGAAAGGGGATGGTGCCAGGGTCTGAACCTGCAGAACCCAGCTAGGGAGAGCCTAGGACAGGGCTGCCTCCTGCTCGCTCTGGTGTCTTGCTCACCCTTGAGCGCCCCTTCTTCATCTGCCCTCCCCCGGCGGGGAGCCAGTGAAGCCAGCACAAGCAGGTAGAGAGGCATTTATTTTGGGGGAGGGGCTGAGATACGGCTGAGAGCAGGTGGAGGGGCAGCGAGTCTCTGAGTCGGGTCTCGTTTCTGGCTGCTCATCCAACAGCACCCACCCACCCCTTCCTCATTCCACAGAATAGAGCGTGGAGGCTAGAAGGGGCCATGAGCAGCGGGGTGACACAGCTGGGGCAGTTCAGCTAGATGGAAAGATGAGGAAGCCGCTGAAGACGCTGTCGGCCTCATTGCCCTGGTAGATGCGGCCCTTGGTGGGGTCCTTCTCGATCCACACCTGGTCCCCTTTCTGCAGCTGCAGCACAGTGCCCCCCGACAGCACCTGGAAGAGCCCCCTGCTGTTGCTATCGCAGAAGCCCACGGAGCGGCGCGCCTGCGACCTGGAGGAGGAGACGATGAACAGGCAGAGGTCCCACTTGGACACCACCTGGAAGGTGAAGTAGTAGAAGCCGGGCACGTTGCACACGAAGTGGCCTGAGTGGTTCTGGTACCGCTCTTCCTGGTTGGTGATGATGGTGTCGAAGATGACCACGTTGCCGCCCGTCGGCGGGTTTCGCCTCACTGCCGAGAAGGCCGGCCGCGGCTGGTCCCTGATGTTGCCCGGATTGCCCTTGGTGCCTTTGGGTCCCGGGCTGCCACGGTCCCCTACTGGGCCACTGGGTCCTGGGAAGCCCACCTTGCCAGGGCTGCCAGGGGGGCCTGGTTCCCCAGGGTCTCCTTTTAGGCCTCGGATGCCCGTGCGCATACCAGGGGCCCCTGTGGGGAGAAAGGGCCGGAAGACCGAGAGTGAGAGTCTAGCACTGGCCAGTCCTTGGAGACAGGACTGGGAGTCCAGCGTGGTGGTGGGCAGGGCAGACCTAGATTCGGATTAGCTGTGTGACCTTAGATAAGTGTCCCAACTTCTCTGAGCCTCGACTGAAAAATGGAGAGCAGCAGCACGTGGGGGAATGGGATGCCCTGTTGACTTGATGGTGTCCTGCTGGCGGCTGTGCCTCCACACTCTCGCAGGCTGGAGACTCCCCTCCCCCTGCCCAGGCTTGGGGGTCTGCCTGGCCTTCTGGTCTGCTTGGGGGTCACATGAAACTTTCTTTCCCACCCTGGGACTTCCTCCCTTTTCCATCTTCCTCAGCACTTTTTCTCTAGAAAGTTCCTGAGGCTTGGAGAGGGAAGCAGGGACAGAACTAGGAGTGCGGGTGCCTCTTTCTATACTGGGCAGGGCTGTCTTTCTACTTTACAGCTGAGGCAACTGAGGTACAGAGAGGGCCAGTCACTTGCTCAAGGCCACACAGCAAAGTTCCTGGAACCCAAGCCTTCTAGTCATGGACCAGGGACCCAAGACCTTCACGACTAGAAACAACCCATTTTCTGGAGGAGGAAGGTGAGGCTGAGGAAAGAGGATCCAGGCAGTAAGTGGGGGGGGACTGATTAGGACTCCTGGGGCCAAGTACCAACTGGAGGGGCTTTTGCCTCCCCACTCCCCAACCCAGGCTGTAGAGCTGTGCCCAGAGCAAGGCTACTCACCAGGCGCCCCTCTCTCGCCCTTGAGGCCAGGCCGTCCCGGTCGGCCAGGTATCCCTGGGACCCCATCCCTGCCGCTGGGGGCTTGGCACACGTCCTGGGTCACCCCAGAGGCCAGACATGTGGCCAGCACACAGACCACCAGCCAGCTCCATGAGATCTCCATGCTGCCAGCCCTGTGGAGACATGGACGGTGCCTGGGCAGGCGGGACGCAGCCCACTGATGCTCATGAACAGCAGAGACGTGATGAAGGGTACGTCTCTGTGCCCCATGCACACATTCACCAGCAAGCTCCAGGGCCCCACACTTCCCCCCTAGAACCACGGCAGTATACTGAGACCCGCAGCAGCCTGAGCCCAACCACACGGTCAGACCCAACCTCTCCCCACACAGCCCTGTCCACCAGTTCCAAACCCACTACGGTATCTGGATACACAGACCAAGAGCCAAGCGCTGGCTTCCCTCCTTCGCAGGGATGCAAACATTCATACACTCCCATGGTTGATAGATTTCATTGAACAAATATTTATCGAGTGCTGGCTCCTTATTTAACTAACACTCTCTCTCCCAGATGGCAGAGCTGTACAGACACACACATGTGACACCTGTACCTGGTCATCATTCTGCGTATCACCTGGGGTGCGCTGTGTCCGACAGCCCCCTCCCTGGCTCTGGTACCCAGAGTCTGCTCCTGACTCCTTGGGCTTTGGGGGGCCAGGACCCAGAAACTGTAGACCTGCCTCACTCCCCATCTTCTGCAAGTCTGGCCCAGGAGGCTAATGTCCCCTCTGCTCACCCTGATCCCAGTGCTGGTGGGGCCCACAGCTGGCCAGCCTCAGCCCCTGCCTGTCCGCCTTCGCGATGGCAGGGTAGGGGGGTCTGGCTACTTGGAACTCCCTGACTTCCTTGGCTCCCCGGCCCCTCCCTCTTGTGCTCTGGCCTCACCTGCTTCAGGTTGACTGCTCCCGGCTGGAGGCTCCTGCCCTCTGCCCAGGGGCCCTGGGGTGATGGTCAGCAGGAGTGGCGCTGGAAAGCAGCCAAGTTTCACATCCCTCCCCGCTTCCCCTTCTCCGGAGCTTCCCCAGGGGCCAGAGCTCGCCAGCGACATTTTGAGCAGATGTCAGCAAGACCAGATGCTGGCTGTCCCGCCGCAGCCCCAGCTGGTGTGGGGGCAGGGCGGGCATGGAGAAGCGGGGAACAGGGGCGACTTTCCAGACTTGGTCACCTGCAGGACTTTGTCTTGGTGTGGAAAGCAGCATATGTTCATTTCCCGAAGCTTGGAGAACACGAAGCAGAAAGGAGTGTGTGTGTGTTGTGTGAAGAGCGTGAGATATGGCAGTTTCCATCCTCATCACTTCCGTGTAGCGTGTCTTGGGGAAGTTATTCAATGTCCCAGAGCCTCAGTTTTCTTATCTGTAAAGTAGGAATAGTAGATTCTACCTCATCTGATCATGAGAACATTTTAATGGCATGGAATTGCAGAATGTGAAATGAACAGCGTATATCAGCATTTAGAGAAACTGCGGTGAGGTAGGGTCTGGCTGGCTAAGCCTGTGGTGCTGCCATCCCATAAGGGCACCAGTTTCAGTCCAGGTTGCTCCACTTCTGATCCAACTCTTGCTAAAGGACTAGGAGAGCAGTGTGGGATGGACCAATTCCTTGGGCCCCTGCACTCACGTGGGAGACCTGGAAGAAACTCCTGGCTCCTGGCTTCGGATTGGCCCAGCCCTGGCTGTTGCAGCCATTTTGGGGAGTGAACCAATGGATGGAAGATCTCTCCCTGTGTCTCCTTTTCTGTAACTCTGCCTTTCAAATCAATTAATCAATCTTAAAAAAAAAAAAAGGCAGGGTTGGGGGGGAACTGTTGCAGGTGCAGCAGAAGCATAGCTGTTAATTCCCAAATGGAAGGAACAGGGGGAGGAAGAAGTGGGCGTGGCCCCACACAGTCCCACCCAGCATCTCTCTTCTTTGTATCCTGTGGGTGTTGCCTCCCTGCAAAAGGAGCTAAAACATGGCTATCGGGGCCACAAGGGTCAGTCTATGGGTAGTGGATTAAGGCACCGCTTGTAGTGCCCGCCTCCCCTTCTCAGAGCACCACTTCCCATCCTGGGACTGTGCCCTTAAGATGCAGTTCCCTGCTAATGCCCCTGGAGGCAGCAGCGGATGACTCCAGTACGTGGGTCCCTGCCTCCTTTGTGGGAGACCAGGTGGTGGAGTTGCAGGCACTTGTCTTTAGCCAGTCCCAGGCCCAGCTGTTGGAGGTGTTTGAGGAGTGGATCAGTGGAAGATCCTCCTCTCTCTCAGTGTCACTTTGAAATAAATAAAAATGAGTAAACTTAGCAACAACTAAAGACCAGAGTCTGTAAGACTGGCCCAGCGTGGCCCAGAGAGGACGTGGGGTTGGCCCAAGGAGAGAGCAGACATTATGCTGAGCTTCTTCCAGCACAGTTCAAGAAGTATCCACCCCCGGTTCTCACCAAAATAGAGTGAGAATGTGCCGGGGCGGTAAGGGGCTTTATTTTTCTTTTTTGCAGCTTATTAGTGAAGCAGACTAACAAAGCTGGTTCAATGAGATGGAAAAAAAACGAAGAAGAATCATCCACGGAGAGGAGAGAGCAGGGCGGTAGAAACGGCAAGAAGATTGTGGAATATTCATGAGATTGCTAAGTTAGATACAAAACTGGTTAATGTTCTATAAGGCAATAAAATCGCAAGCTCCGAGTTGTCTTCCCTACTGGAAAGAAATCATTTGCATCTCGGCCAGACAAAAAATAATTTGCACCTTATCCGGTTCCTACCAGTTAGCAGCTATCTTTGCAGAGTCCGGGCCCTAATCAATAGTAAATAATCAGTCAGTCCCCGGAGTGGGAGATGACCGTCAGGAGGGCTGGAGTGTGACTTGGAAAGGACACCGGCTATCTGTTAGCTTTCTTCCAAGTGTTGGCGCTTTTACTTCTGTGGCTGTGACAAGCCGGAAACACTTCCCCAGAAATAAAAGGCGACAGGAGTAATGTTAACAGCATTAAGGTGGAAAGAAAATGAATCAGCAGCCACCCCGCGACTCTCTCACCACAGGGGCCGCGTTCTCCTTTCTCTCCGGAGTAAAGCCTGAGGCTGGAAGAAAGCCATGAACCTAACGCTGGCCTCACTCAAAGTCCATGGTGGAATCACCTCTCCTGCCAGAGTCGGCATCCAGGAAACAACCCACGCAGCCCGTGTTGCCAACAGCCAAGCTCACCGTTGGAAAATAATTCCAGGGACGCAAGGCGGGGCCCCTATGCACCTTTCCCAGTGGTCCTGTACGGCCTGGTGCTTGAGATCAGGGCAGATTTCCTCTTCCTTGGCGGAGTAAGGCTGGCCCCACCCCATGCACACAAAGGGACGGAATCTTTAAAGACTGGAGTCACACCCCTGGTGGGATGTTTAGACAGAGAGAAGCTCCCGGGAGCAGGTGTCCCTGTCCGAGATCATTTTAGAAAGAGGTTCCTGCAGGGCCCAGAGGGACCGGCAATATCCCTTGCCTAATTTAAATAGCTGTTTCCAGGCCTCTCTCTCACTCTGTCTGAAGCGTATTGGGCAAAGTGCGGAAAGTCACATGTGTGGATAACGCCACTCTCTGCTGCTGGCTTTTTTTTTTTTTTTCCGTCAAGAGCCATTGACGTGTCATTTGCATGCGGTAAACTGCACAGATGCCAAGTGTGGGTCCCGCTGCTTGCAGACGCAGGCACGCAGCCTGTCCCATGGCAGGGTGGGTGGGTGGGTGGGTGGAGAGCAGATCAGGCCCATCATCCCAGCAGGAGGTGTCCCCCCACCTCAGGTCCGCAGATCTCCCCCGCCCCTAAGTAGCCAGGGTTTCCCATTCCGTGGCTGTAGCCCCGCTGCCTGCCTTGAACTCAGGTGAATGGAATCATGCTCCTTCTCCTGGTTTCTTTCCATGCAAGAACGTGCTGGGGAGACCGACTCTGCATCCACATCTGCACGAGATGGTCACTTGTTTAATTTGCAGAGAGAGACTCATATCTTGTCTGTCCACTCTCCCCCGGTGGGTCACTCTAATGACCAGCATTGTCACACAAGCCCTGTGCCCAGGCCCACACGTCATGCAGGGGTATGGCGTCCACCCCAGTCCTCTGCTCTCTCTTTCTCCCTCAGCCCACGTCCCTCACTCCCCCACAGACAGCCCCAGATCCTTAGCCTCAGCCACTCTCTCCTCCCCATGCCTGCTTCGTGCCCTTCCCTCGGGACATGCGCTGTTTCATCTTCCTCCTCCGGGCTCTGTGGTCTTTCCTCCACTCCCGTCCTTGTCACCCAGTAAGTTGAAGGGGTGTGATGGCTGGAGGGGAGAGACTGCTGCCACGATGGGAGGGGGCTGCTGCACACCCTCAAGCCCCCTTTTTTTGCTTGCAGATCGAAGCCCTTGTTGGCATGGTCCTCTGAAAGTCGAGGAATTGTCAGCAGCTCCATTGGAGCAGGATGAGGCGGCCCCCAGTTCAGAGCCTGTGTGTCCTGTCTGCTGTGTGATTGGCAGGCATCCCCTCCCGGGTCTGGGGCTCCAGTCCTTGCCTAGAAACCAAGGGGGATGAGCTGGACACGAAGCCAAGACCCCATCTCCCCTCTTCTCACCCCACCTGCCACTCAGGGACCAGCACGCTGAGGAGAAGTTTGAAAAGGACAAGTAAAAAGAAGACAAATCAAAACAAAAGTCTCAGAGGAATGTGAAGAAAAATAGTTAGAGATGAAGCCCCCTCCCCAACTCCTCCAGTCCTGGGGCCCCACCTGGAGATGTGTCCTAGCAGCTCCTATGGAGCCAGCGCCAGTGCCAGGAGGAAGTACCACTGCGTAAATGCATCTCGCAGCTTTGTGGGCAAGTGAGCTGGGGGAAGATTAGAAGGATTAGGAGAAAGTTTGGAAAACAAACCAAGCTGGCAATGGGATCAGCAGGGAGGAAGTGCGGCCCCCCGGGGAGAGGGGAGGAGGCCCCCCTTTCCCCTTCCCCTCTCCCCGGGGGTTGGGACTACCCGAGGCTTGGGATCACGGACAAGTGGCCAGAGAAAGCCCTGCGGGCAGAGGCCCGGAGCTCCTCTAGGGACCCAAAGCATGGCGCCTGAACCTCCCTGTAGCCACTGCGGTCCTTGGGATCCACATGGCCCTCTTGCCGGTGCGTAGAGGCTGAAGCCGCACCTAGGCGTATTTGCAAGA